ATTTTGGCATTGATATTGCAAATCTGACTGATCATGCCAAAAAATGCTCTTTTATTGAAGGATGATGATCATATGAAGCCATTTATTATTACATTGCTGTTTGGCTCCTTTTTAAATCATAATGATAACAGTAATCACCCAAATGGCCCTGATCAGAAGTCTCCGCCCCCTGGATCAGAAGTCTCCGCCCCCTGGATCTGAAGTTCAAAGGGAAGGGCGTCATGTATACTAAGGATGGCATACGCCAGGGGTGCCAAACCGGCGGCCCTCCAGCTGTTGCGAAACTACAAGTCCCATCATGCCTCTGCCTTTGGGAGTCATGCTTGTAACTGTCAGTCTTGCAATCCCTTATGGGACTTGTAGTTTGGCAACAGCTGGAGGGCCACCAGTATGGCACCTGTGTCATACGGTATAAAGAGTGACGGGACAAGGTCATCCAGTGCCCAGGGCATAGCTAGGATACTGCACCCCCTCCCAGCACCCCACCAACTCATAACCTCCCCATTTCTTTATCACCCCCCACCACTACCTGCTCCTGTTGGGTAGAGATGGGGTCTGAGCCATTGTTGGTGCAAGAAAAAATGCTTGTAGTATGCTACAGCCCAAAACGTTTTAAAACTGGTGCACAAATATTGGGCTAACTGTTGAGCCAGTGGTGTCACTGAAATGAAAAAAAAATATCCCTATGCCAGTGGTGTCACTGAAATAAAAACATCCCTATGCTAGTGGTGTCACTGATATAAAAAAAAAACCCATCTCTATGCTAGTGGTGTCACTGATATATAAAAAAAAAAAAAGTCCCTATGCCAGTGGTGTCACTGAAATAATTAAAAAAAACATTCCTGTGCCAGTGGTGTCACTGCAAAGGAAACCGTCCTGGCATTGGTGGTGTCACTGGAATGAACAAATATTCCTTGCGTCAGTGGTGTCACTGAAAGGAAAAACAAACGTCCCTGTGTTGGTGATGTCTGGGCACTGTGTGTTCTAAGTGTTCTTGGTGCCCTGCGTAGGGGGGGGGGGGGCACACTGTCACTCATTTGGTTCCTACATCGAGGGACAGCAGGGAGCACAGGGCCAGTGCTGGAGGTGGTGGTACCAAGTACTGCCATGTTCTGGATGAAAAAAAAGCCTTGCTGACAGGAGTGATGCTGCAGTAATTCCTGTCAGTGAAGAGGGAGAAGGGAGCTGCTGAGCTCCCAATGCACCCCTTCCTCTACAGAGGCTGCACCCGGGTCACATGCCCCTTCTGCCCCCTCCCTTGTCCCGGACCTGAGTATTGGCACCCTTAACTGTTCCATCAGTTTCTGATCATGACTAAGGGCCGAGAGCTGATCACCCAGAGCACCCCTGAATCTACATAGGGAGGCTGCACCCGGGTCACCTGCCCCTTCTGCCCCCTCCCTTGTCCCAGCCCTGGGTTCTTGATCATGACTAGAGACCTAGAGCTGAGCTCCCTGTGCACCCCTGCCTCTACATAGAGAGGCTACACCCGGGTCACCTGCCCCTTCTGCCCCCCCCTTGTCCCAGCCATGGGTATGGGTTCTTGATCATGACTAGAGACCTAGAGCTGAGCTCCCTGTGCACCCCTGTTTCTACATAGAGAGGCTACAACCGGGACACCTGCCCCTTCTGCCCCCTCCTTTTCCTGGCCCTGGTTATAAGCACCCTGAGCTAACCCCTGTCCCATCAGTTCCTGATCATGACTTAGGACTGAGAGCTGATCACCCAGAACTGAGCACCCCTGCCCCCTGTTATATACGGGGAGGCTACACCCAGGTCACCTGCCCCTTCTGCCCCCTCCCTTGTCCTGGCCCTGGGTTCTTGATCATGATTAGAGACTGAGAGCTCCCAGTGCACCCCTGCCTCTACAAGAGAGGCTACACCCATGACACCTGCCCCTTCTGCCCCCTCCCTTGTCCCGGCCCTGGGTATTGGCACCCTTAACTGTCCCATCAGTTCCTGATCATTGACTAAGGGCCAAGAGCTGAGCTCCCAGAGCACCCCTGCCTCTACATAGGAGGCCACACCCCGGGTCACCTGTCCCTTCTGCCCCCTCCCTTGTCCCAGCCCTGGGTTCTTGATCATGACTAGAGACCTAGAGCTGAGCTCCCAGTGCACCACTGCCTCTACATGGGGAGGCTACACCCGGGTCACCTGCCCCTTCTGCCCCTCCCTTGTCCCGTCCCTGGGTATAAGCACCCTTAACTGTCCCATCACCTCCTGATCATGACTGGGAGCTGTCTAGGACAACTCGGTCCCTGTGCACGGAGCACGCAGGAGCATGCTCTCAGCACAGAATACTAGGTCATCCAGGGACGCATAGGTGCGGTGTGTGGTCATCCAAGCCCACCTTCTCTGCCACTGCCCATATGCATCCGTGAACAGCTGAGGTTTCTTTGTAGAGATACGCTTTTTTACGGTCCCAGCACAGTGACTGAGCTGTCTTAGACAGCTCTCAGCCTCTAGTCTAGTCGGAGGGCTTAGATACTGCACCTGTCCCTTCCACCCGCACCACAATTTCAGGACCTCATGCACTGGATCTAATCGCACAGTCGCCTTAGGGCAGAAAAAAAAGGTATCTTGGACAGTACTCAGTGGTTTTGTTGTAATTACACTAATACTCCAACAATCACCTCAAGCGTTAAAATGTAAAAAAAACCCGTATCAGGGTCAGCATTACGGGGCCCGGGGCCCATATTGACTGAGATTGAGTGAACATGTTCATCCACCCGCAGCGTGGATAAAAGCATGCCTGGAGGACGTGTCTGCTGCAAAGTTCGGTCATCTGGGCACAAGGTGTACAAATGACGTCGGGAGTCTGCAGACAGAAGGTGGTCACATGGCGTTGGACGTTCCGTTCTACCCCTCCGATGAATCACGCTTCCATTTTGTCCCAAATCATTCCTCTGTTTCCATAAATGGGCGAAACATAGAAAACCTTAGAATTACAAGCAAAAACATAGCTGTTGAGCAGGGCTGTGGATAAGGGGGTACCACCAGTCCTCCTGTATGGGGCCCAGGCCAGCAGGGGGCGCATGCAGCTGGGTGAATCAGATGTTGGCAGGGAGGGTGAACGGAACAGCGGAGGGGCGAATTACTGGAACCGATCTCCTGTATGGCTCTTTCTGCAGCAGCTGAAATCCGGCTTCTTCTCCTCTCCCTCCCGCTGGCTTTCAGCTGCTGCAGAGAGAGCCATACAGGGGATCAGTTCCAGGAGGGTAGCCGGCAGCACTGTGGGGGTGGGGGGCCTACAGGGGGGAAACATATGGTGCACAAGGAGGGTGATATGGGGCAATTACTGGAACTGATCCCCTGTATGGTTCTCTCTGCACCAGCTGACAGCCGGCATCTTCTCCTCTCCCTCCTGCTGGCTTTCAGCTGCTGCAGAAAGAGCCATACAGGGGATCAGTTCCAGTAATTGCCCCATATCACCCTCCTTGTGCACCATATGTTTACCCCACCCCCCACCCCCACAGTGCTGCTGGCGACCCTCCTTTCCTTCCCACTAGGCACAAGGACAATAGGATCCTTCAGGATGGAGAGCGGGGGAAGATTCCAGTAAATATGTACCATTTACCAGCCCCTTCCTTTCCTGAATGAACACAATGAGTGATCAGTACTGATCGCTCGCTGTGTTCATTCATAATTGAAGTTGTTCATGTTGTTGTTGTTGTTATTATTATTATTATACAGGATTTATGGCGCCAACAGTTTGCTCAGCTCTTTACAATATAACGGAGACAATACAGCAACAATACAGTTCAATACAAGAGGGTTAGGAGGGCCCTGATCCTGGGAGCTTACAATCTAGGAAGTATAGTAAACTGTGTTTTTTTTTTCTGGGGGGTCTGTCAGATTGGGTGTATGGGGTCCTGTAGTTTTTTTAGCAGCAGCCCTGCTGTTGAGTAACGTGTTTTGGTCTCTGTCGTGCCACTTGCAGTTGTTATCGGGTTCACGCATGAAATGAGCGACCCATGATGGGTCCGGTTCCAGATTCTAACATGCAGGACACTCGGAGGTGGATAGGGGGGCATCGCTGAAAAGCTAGACCAGTATTCCACTTGAAAGCCGTAATATATAAGTACATTAGGCGGTCTTCCAGTGGGTAGAGACATAGTGGATGTAGGGAAGGGGCTTGCTGTAGTTCCATAAAATTGTCCTCTAGATGTTCCCATAGTGAGGAGGGTGGGCAGTCTGTAGTGAAGAGTGCCACTCGTGTCGTTGCTGAGATAGCTGCTAGAGGTCCCCAGAGTATTATTATTATTATACAGGATTTATTATTATTATTATTATTATTATTAATATTATTATTATACAGGATTTATATTATTATTATTATTATTATTATTATACAGGATTTATTATTATTATTATTATTATTATTATTATTATTATTATACAGGATTTATATTATTATTATTATTTATTATTATTATTATTAATATTATTATTATTATTATTATTATACAGGATTTATATTATTATTATTATTATTATTATTATTAATATTATTATTATTATTATTATACAGGATTTATTATTATTATTATTATTATACAGGATTTATTTTTATTAAGAAGTTGGAGATGTTGCGGAGGCTGGAGATGTTGCTGAGGTTGGAGATGTTGGGAGGGTAGGAGATGTTGGGGAGGTTGGAGATGTTGCGGAGGTTGGAGATGTTGCGGAAGTTGGAGATGTTGCCGAGGTTGGAGATGTAGATGTTAGGGAGGTTGGAGATGTTGCCGAGGTTGGAGATGTAGATGTTAGGGAGGTTGGAGATGTTGCCGAGGTTGGAGATGTAGATGTTAGGGAGGTTGGAGATGTTGCCGAGGTTGGAGATGTAGATGTTAGGGAGGTTGGAGATGTTGCCGAGGTTGGAGATGTTGCGGAGGTTGGAGATGTTGCCAAGGTTGGAGATGTTGCGGAGGTTGGAGATGTTGCCGAGGTTGGAGATGTTGCGGAGGTTGGAGGTGTTGCGGAAGTTGGAGATGTGGCCAAGGTTGGAGGTGTTGCCAAGGTTGGAGATGTTGCGGAGGTGGAGATGTTGCGGAGGTTGGAGATGTTGCCGAGGTTGGAGATGTTGCCGAGGTTGGAGGTGTTGCGGAAGTTGGAGATGTTGCCGAGGTTGGAGATGTTGCGAAGGCTGGAGATGTTGCGGAGGTTGGAGATGTTGCGGAGGTGAAGTCTACAAGATTTGGACAGTGATTGGATTTGGGTCTGAAAGGACAGATGGGATTCCAGGACTACACCTAGTACCCTGGCATGAGGGGAGGGACTGATGGTTGTAGTAAGCTGGGTGTACCACAGGAAGTTAGGTAGTGTCAGCCCCGCCCCTGCCAGTGTGAGGCATCTTGGGTAGACGTTTCTGTATGAATAGTAAGGTGGGAGTCTACCTGAGGTCAGTTGGCTGGATATGGAAAGCAGTGCAAAGGCAGCAAAGAAGTTATTTTTGAGGGTCTCGATTCTGGGAGCTTCCTCTTAGGAGGGCAGCTAGGAAGGAGGGGTGAGACCTATGGGGCCACTCCTACACCTTGGATAATGTAGGACTCCCTGAAGGTATGGGCTGCTCCTCAACGTGGCTCTCTGCTCTGCTGTTATCTGTTGGCACCTGAAGGTGCCACCACCATTGGGATGACTGAAAGTCAAGTGTCAAAAGACGGTCTGTATGTGGATTCTTCTCCTCCTAACCTCTAGATGGGAACGTCTTCTGGAAAAGGAACTTTTGGTGGGTGAGGGGTCCAATGCCACCCATAGCTCGGCCCCCGGCTACCTCACCAACCAGGTCTCAAAACACCAACCAAACCGCTCTCATCGTTCCTCCAAAGACCTCGGGCTCTCTAGTTCCCTTGTCTCCTCCTCCCATGCTCGCCTCCAGGACTTCTCCCGAGCCTCTCCCATCCTATAAAATTCCCTACCCCAATCTGTCCGACTGTCTTCTACTCTGTCTACGATCCCTGAAAACCCATCTCTCCAGAAAAGCCTTTCCTGCCCCCACCTAATATCTGTACTTTATTTTCTCCATCAGCCAATCCTCCACAGTTATTACCTTTTGTATCAATTGCCCCTCCCTCCTAGATTGTAAGCTGTAAGGAGCCGGGCCCTCTGACTCCTCCTGTATTGTATTGTAATTGTACTGTCTGCCCTCACAAGGCACTGGACCCTGAATTCACTATATCCGCTCTCCCTGGACCTTGCAGTCACTATATCCGCTCTCCCCGGACCCCGCATTCACTATATCCGCTCTCCGAGGACCCCGCATTCACTATATCCGCTCTCCGAGGACCCCGCATTCACTATATCTGCTCTCCGAGGACCCCGCATTCACTATATCTGCTCTCCGAGGACCCCGCATTCACTATATCCGCTCTCCCCAGACCCCGCATTCACTATATCCGCTCTCCCCAGGACCCCGCATTCACTATATCTGCTCTCCGAGGACCCCGCATTCACTATATCTGCTCTCCGAGGACCCCGCATTCACTATATCCGCTCTCCCCAGACCCCGCATTCACTATATCTGCTCTCCGAGGACCCGGCATTCACTATATCCGCTCTCCCCAGACCCCGCATTCACTATATCTGCTCTCCCGAGGACCCCGCATTCACTATATCCGCTCTCCCCGGACCTTGCAGTCACTATATCCGCTCTCCCCAGACCCCGCATTCACTATATCCGCTCTCCGAGGACCCCGCATTCACTATATCCGCTCTCCCCCGGACCCCGCATTCACTATATCCGCTCTCCCCGGACCCCGCATTCACTATATCCGCTCTCCGAGGACCCCACATTCACTATATCCGCTCTCCGAGGACCCCGCATTCACTATATCCGCTCTCCCCGGACCTTGCAGTCACTATATCCGCTCTCCCCAGACCCCGCATTCACTATATCCGCTCTCCGAGGACCCCGCATTCACTATATCCGCTCTCCACGGACCCCGCATTCACTATATCCGCTCTCCCCGGACCCCGCATTCACTATATCCGCTCTCCCCGGACCCCGCATTCACTATATCCGCTCTCCCCGGACTCCGCATTCACTATATCCGCTCTCCCCGGACCCCGCATTCACTATATCCGCTCTCCCGGACCCCGCATTCACTATATCCGCTCTCCCCGGTCCCCGCATTCACTATATCCGCTCTCTCCCTGGACCCCGCATTCACTATATCCGCTCTCCCCGGACCCCGCATTCACTATATCCGCTCTCCCCGGACCCCGCATTCACTATATCCGCTCTCCCCGGACCCCGCATTCACTATATCCGCTCTCCCCGGACCCCGCATTCACTATATCCGCTCTCCCCGGACCCCGCATTCACTATATCCTCTCTCCCCGGACCCCGCATTCACTATATCCTCTCTCCCCGGACCCCGCATTCACTATATCCGCTCTCCCCGGACCCCGCATTCACTATATCCGCTCTCCCCGGACCCCGCATTCACTATATCCGCTCTCCCCCGGACCCCGCATTCACTATATCCGCTCTCCCGCCCCGCATTCACTATATCTGCTCTCCCCGGGACCCCGCATTCACTATATCCGCTCTCCCCGGACCCCGCATTCACTATATCTGGTCTCCCACAGTACACACAACATGGAAATGCAATTATTTTAGTAAATATAAACAGCTAAATACCTTTTCTCATCAGCAGTATAGAGCAGTCTTGTGACTTTTATCAGCGTCCAGCAGAGCACTGGTTAATCTTTTAGGAGGAGTTTTCATTCTTTTCTAGGAGGATGCAGAACCCCTGACCTCCATCTGGATAGTGCTGATTGTCACTGTGCTGATCACATGTACTCTCCCAAGAAAAAAAAAAAAAAAACCTCTCTAGCGCTACACACCAAACTGAGCATGTGCAGAATGTCTCAACATGATATGTCAGGGGATGAGAAGGGGGCACTAGAAGAAGGGGAGGATCAGAGAAGACAGGATCAATCAGCCTTTTATACACAATGCAGAGGATTAACCCCTCAGGTTCCACAGTGAGTATAACAAGCATGCTTTACTGCATCTACAGACTGATTGTACTGTTGGGTGGTTTGGTGACACTTTTAGCTTTGACAATAAAACCTGGAAGCTGATTGGTGTCTGTGCAGAGCTGCTCCGGATTTTGAACCATGCCGTTTTAGTAAATCAACCGCAATGACTTTCCTGAGCCCTCCCTCTGTGAGGTGCAACACTGACTGAACATGGAAGAAAGTGAGGAGAGCCTACTGAACTAACCAGCACTAAACAGGTGGGGAGACAGGAAGGTCAACTACAGTTAGGTCCATATATATATTTGGACACAGGCACAATTTTATATTTTTTTCAGGTATTTACCAAAACGTATTCCAGCTCTAGTTCTATGATGGATCTGGGCGGACAGTGCGCACTCTCAGGTGTAATTTGAGGGTCTGTACATCCACATTGGAGGAAGGGTTCAGGAATTACAGCTCTTAGGTGTAGCCATCCCCCCTTTTCAAGGGACCAAAAGTAATTGGACAACTGAATATAATCATCAATAAAATGTTGATTTGTAATATTTTGTTGAGAATCCTTTACTGGCAAAGACTGCCTGAAGTCTGGAACCCATGGACATGACCAAAGACTGGGTTTCCTCCGACTCGGCCATTGCAGAATTTTCCACTTCTTTTCCTTCATAAGCTCCTGGGTTGCTTTTGCAGTGTGTTTTTGGATCATTGTCCATCTGTACTGTGAAGCGCCGTCCAATCACCTTTGCTGCATTTGGCTGACAGTATATCTGTAAACACGGCAGAATTCATCCGGCTGCTTCTGTCTTCTGTCACATCATCAATAAACACCAATGACCCAGTGCCACTGGAAGCCATGCATGCCCATGCCATCACACTGCCTCCGCCCATGCCATCACACTGCCTCCGCCCATGCCTTCACACTGCCTCCGCCCATGCCATCACACTGCCTCCGCCCATGCCATCACACTGCCTCCGCCCATGCCTTCACACTGCCTCCGCCCATGCCATCACACTGCCTCCGCCCATGCCTTCACACTGCCTCCGCCCATGCCATCACACTGCCTCCGCCCATGCCATCACACTGCCTCCGCCCATGCCATCACACTGCCTCCGCCCATGCCATCACACTGCCTCCGCCCATGCCATCACACTGCCTCCGCCCCATCACACCGCCTCCGCCCATGCCATCACACACCGCCTCCGCCCATGCCATCACACCGCCTTGCCCATGCCACCCCACACCACTGCCTCCGCCCATGCCACCACACCGCCTCCGCCCATGCCATCACACCGCCTCCGCCCATGCATCACACCGCCTCCACCCATGCCATCACACTGCCTCCGCCCATGCCTTCACACTGCCTCCGCCCATGCCATCACACTGCCTCCGCCCATGCCATCACACTGCCTCCGCCCATGCCATCACACTGCCTCCGCCCATGCCACCACATCGCCTCTGCCCATCCACACAACTGCCTCTGCCCATGCCCATGCCATCACACTGCCATCCGCCCATGCCTTCACACACTGCCTCCGCCCATGCCTCACACTGCCTCCGCCCATGCCATCACACTGCCTCCGCCCATGCCATCACACCGCCTCCGCCCATGCCCACACCGCCTCCGCCCATGCCACCACACCGCCTCCGCCCATGCCACCACACTTCCGCCTCTGCCATCACACTGCCTCCGCCCATGCCATCACACTGCCTCCGCCCATGCCTTCACACTGCCCTCCGCCCATGCCATCACACTGCCTCCGCCCATGCCATCACACTGCCTCTCCGCCCATGCCATCACACCGCCTCCGCCCATGCCATCACACCGCCTCCGCCCATGCCATCACACCGCCTCCGCCCATGCCACCACACCGCCTCCGCCCATGCCATCACACTGCCTCCGCCCATGCCATCACACTGCCTCCGCCCATGCCATCACACCGCCTCCGCCCATGCCACCACACCGCCTCCGCCCATGCCACCACACCGCCTCCGCCCATGCCACCACACCGCCTCTGCCATCACACTGCCACCCATGCACACACACCGCCTCCGCCCATGCCATCACACCGCCTCCGCCCATGCCATCACACCGCCTCCACGCCCATGCCAATCACACCGCCTCCGCCCCATGCCACCACACCGCCTCCGCCCATGCCACCACACCGCCTCCGCCCATGCCACCACACCCTCCCCCCCATGCCATCACACACCTCCGCCCATGCCATCACACTGCCTCCGCCATGCCATCCCACTCCACCCGCCTCTGCCCATGCCACCCATCGCCTCTGCCCATCCACACACCGCC